TGTGGGCTGGTTTCAAGGGTAGGTCCAGGGAAATGAAGTCGCACCTACCTTTGGTTCCTGCTCCACCCAAAGTTTAAAATCAACTGGCTGGCAGCGGCAGCAGCATTTCTGGTCAGGCTGCAGTGTTAACTCAGGTGTGGAAATATTAGCTCAGGTGTAGAAACAATTTTCAGTCAGGCATGGGATGCGGTGTCAGGATGCTCCAGGGGGCTAGATTGTTCTTTATAAATCTTAAAAATGAGATGTACATTTAATTCTAATAACTACAGGACTAATGAAACAGCATCTTTTGATTATTGTTTGCCTAGTTTGTTGTGCTTTTCATACAGAATATATGATGTAGCGAGGTAATGCACATTCCAATACAGTTAGATTTGCTTTTGCTTTAATCTTAAACTGAATTATATAGCCCTGGGCCCCTAGCTTATTAGGAGGGATCTGGATTTTTCATTTGCAATGGAAAACTGTGGATTTTCTCCTTTAAACCATGGGTTTCCTCTTGCAAGCTGGCAGAGTTCCAGCTTGCAAGGGGCTGCTGGGGGCAGGGGACTCCATGTGCATGTGCACGCATGCACATGCATGCACATGACAGCCAGGCAGGGTGGTGGAGAACAGCTCCCACAGCTCCCTCCAGGTCAGTATTGGGGTGGGAGCACAGGCAATGTGTTTGGGGGTGGGGCACGTGCCCCCCCTGATTTCTGCACCCATCTTGGGGTATGGGGCTGCAGCTGGGTCAGACCAGCTCTGGGCAGGGGCTGCCTCTGCAGACCAGTGGGAGACACCTGACACAGGAGGAAGTGCTGCCATGGCTGCCAAAGTGAGGTGCCCCTGTCCACCCGGCAGCAGCGGGGGCACAACTCCATGCGCTGCCACATCTCACCTTGGTGGCCATGGTGGTGCTGCGCTCCCTCCTGTGCTGGGTCCCACCCATTCCTGCCTGGAGCTGGTCTGACCCAGCTAGTCCACCCCATGCTTTGCTGTGGACACAGAAATCTGGGGGGGGGGGCATGTGCCCCTCCATCCCCCCAACATTTATCCCTCCCCATGCACTGGGAGGCTGGGGCCTGGGTGTGGGGGGCAGTGGGTCATGAGTGAGGGGCACCAGCAGGATGGGGGGGCTGTGGGTCAGGCATGAGGGGCACTGGCATCACCAGGGGGCTGTGGGTTGGGGAGTGATGGTCAATGGATGGGCAGGGCAGGGCATCGGCAAGTCAGGGCTGTTTAGTGCCACAAAGCGATGGAGGGGGGACAGTCACTGTTGGGCTTGTGTCCTGGTGAGTCAAAGGGGCAGGGGGAGCTCTGATTTTACATGATAAAAAACATAAAATCAAGCACCAACATTAATAGGTATTTAGAATTTATTTTATTATAATAAAGGCACTGGTAGGCTTCCAAATTGCTTTAAAGTTGTAACTATATCAATAAAACATTGTGTTCAATTGATATCTATCTATCTATCTATCAGCATTTCATTTTAATCATGGAAAAACATGGATTTTGGGGTTTTTAATCAGAGAATTTGGAATTTTTTCTTTTTTTAATCAGACAATTTGGGATTTTTAAACAGAGAAAGCCAGGATCCCTGCTTATTAATAAAGCTTCTAATTCATTTTTATTTGGAAAAAAATAGGTGTGTTATTTTTGCTGAAGCAGCGTGCCCTCTGCACCCTCCTTTTCAAAATCCTAGATCGGGGTGGCCAAAGTGGCAGGATTTTGTGGTGGTGACAGCACGGTCCGGAGTCGGAGCAGAGCCACTTTCTGCTGCCTGCATGTCCCTGCCGGGGGCATGCGGGCAGCGGATCATGGCTCTGCCCAGGCTGCCTGGACTCCCAGGTAGGCACCAAGTGTTTCTGGGTCCTGAGTATCTCTGAAAGCTTGGGCCCTCATTGTCTTTCTCCTTTTTCCTCTGTTTCCTGACTAATCCCAGGTGTGTCTGGTGCATGGAGACCTAAGCGCTTTATCCTATGCCAGGGCCTCAGAGACGACAGGAGCCAGGGCTCAGCCCCTCTAGCAGCCATGCCTGTGCTGGTGGCAGGGACACTCAGACAGACCACACAAGGCTGGGGGTAGGCCAGGGGTCCTGAGTAAGTGCTCCCCTGGGAAAACCCATGACAAGTGTTTGCACCAAGCGCTGCGAGAGGCTGATTGTAGCTGCTTTTGCCAGACCGTGCAGGCGTGACTGCACCAATATCACGTGGTCTGCATGAAATGCATTGCACAAAACAGCCCGGCCTTGAGCTCACGTGACCCATGTTTCGGTTGGGTCATGTTGTATGAAAGAGGGAAGGGCTCTGTTCACTTCTTCACTGAGTGTGTAGGCTGCTGGCTGGATCATCTCATCCCTGTTTTCATAGTTTCATAGTTTCTAGGGTCAGAAGGGAC